ATGTTTTTTTTCTCTCTAGAATGAGAGAAAACTGGTGACACATGTCTTTCTGAACTTGGATTATTTTATTAAACACACTGATTTCTAGTTCTACATTTTCTTCTGCAAATGGCTTCATTTCATTCTTCTTTATGCTTGAATGTTATGCAAATGCTATATTTTCCTTATATTATTTGTCCACTGCAAAACACTAAGGCTGATTGCCCAACTTGGTCATTATGAATTGTGTAATAATGAATATGAGTGCTCAGATACATTTTTTATCTGCTTACTTTCATTTGGCTGGGCATAAACCTAGAAAAACATAGTTTAACTATATGATATATCTACTTTTAATGTTCAGAGGGATGTCAACACTGACTTACGAAGAAAGCTGGATTAACTTAAATGTTCACCAACAGCATATAAGGGTTCCTTTGCCTCTAAATCCTTACAAGCATATGTCACATATTTTCATATCCATTCTAACTAGATTCTAACTACATTGAATCTCAATGTAGTTTTGACTTGACAAACATTTTAACAAATAAGGTTAGGACTTAACTGCTCAGAATTGTTCTCTCCTTTTCCATCAATTACACATTTTTTGGAAAGAGGACTGATTTAGGTTGATGCAGTAGGACTAGAGCTGGATTCCATACTTAGACTTTAAATACAGCTGTATCATGTGAATCTGTTCAAATTATCTTATTTCTTCATTTCTTTAGAATATAATTGTGATTTCTAAGAGTTGATCTCTAAAAGCTATGGTGGATCCATGTTCTCTCTCTTTCTGATACTTTACCCTAACTACAAAAAACCACCAGAGAAAAGTGTATGCCTACAATGTTCAACTACAGTAAAACAAACATAGGAACTGTTGTCCCTAGTTTGTTCCATGACCTATTCCATGGCCTTGCAGAATGAGAGGGACACTGACTAAAAAGGCAGAAGGCCCTGCTTACTCAAGAAACACAAAATCAGTACCCAGAAAAGATTGTTTAGTCAGACCCTTCCCTTTCTCACCAAGAAATGCACCAGAAACAGAAAGAAAACTGTTCATAGCAAAATTCATTCCTTCAAGAGTTCACTGCACTTGACCAAAAAAGGAAAAAGAAAAATAGCTTGTCTCAGTAAATGTACAGTCTAAAGGAGGAGTTCCAGCAGCATGTGAACACAGCCATATCATACTAGACAAGAATGAAAATGAAATATAGAACTTTAAATATGGGACATAGCCCCAAAGCAACATTTTTTCTAGGAAGCAGGAAAAATAGTATGAATACATTAATGTGAAAGTAGACCAAAGAGCCACATCAGCACTGGCAATATGATGCAACTTATTTGCCATCAAAACTGTCCTTCAGAGCTCACATGCCTGATGATGTGAAAGGAGACAGAATTCTTCCCAGTGCCTTCAGTGGAGTTATAGCCATTAGTCACCAAAGAAATCTACAGTCATCTTTCTTTATGCCGATCAGTCTTGTCTTCAACCAAGGTACATTTTCAGACACAAAATAGAAAAATGCCAGTTTCCAATCCAAGACAATTACAATTATCTTAAGTTAAATACCAAAACCAATGGTAGTTATTTGGTCCATTGAATTATATATACTGTATTTTAAAAATATGAATTAAGGAAACCTTTATATAGGTAGAAATCCATAATATAGAGCTTTTCCTATTCTGTTCATCTCTGTGTTGTACACATTTGTCTTTTGAATTATATAGGAAAAAAATGAATAAAACAAAATGAGACACCAGATTTCTAATCATCTATATGATCATGACCCATTGTTCTTTGTTTGCTATAGTTCCAAACTGGTGCCCAGTGCTGTTTCATTTCAGCCCAGATCACTTCCTACAGCATTTCCTGTAGATCAGTGTTGTTAATGGCAACCAGCGATAACAAAATGGGATATCACAGGCCAAGAAATGAGAAAGGGAACAGAGGATAGAAAATCCAGGTATCATAGGGTCCCTCTCTCACTGGCTTTTGAACCCCAAGCACCCATAAGTGAATTTATTTATTTAGTTCAGCACAGAGAAGGTTACTATAGGTATGTGCAGAAAACAAGGTGTTAATCTATCTTGTGGTTACAGTCTTTGACATAAGACCTAATTTGTGTACATAGTAATAACTCCCTATAGCTAGGGAGCAGTGAGAAGCAGTGACCATAACACATTCATCATATTCCCATTGCTTCAAGCATTAGAGGGGCCAGTCAACTGTGACTTATACAGCATTGGGTCCAGTTAGTTTTAACTTACACATTTTTCTTGCCTTGCCTGTTTTGACCTTTGCAAGGTCCAGTTGTCAACCTTCTGAGTACTGCGGAGGTAGCCTTCCAACCCCTAAACCCTTTCTTGGTCTCACAGCTCAGCTCTAGAGCTCCGTAGAGATAAGGTCTATACATGATGAACTCTATATGCCTTGATACTCCACTTTTCTTTTTCTTGTTGACATATTATAAGATATAGAGGCACTAGTTGAAATGTTTTGTTTTTGTTTGTTTTGTTTGTTATTTTCAGTCCTTTGCATATGTCATTCCAATGCTTTATGACTTCCATGATGTCTGATGAAAATTGAAAGTCCATAGCATGTCACTTCTCTGTCATAGTTTTCATCATTTTCAGTTTCTTCTCGTCTTCAACGGATGGATTACAGTGTATAATATAGACTTCTTAGTCATTATCTTTAGGGCATGTTTTGAGCTTCAAGGATATATACATTCAGTCTTCCACTGAATTGGGGAAGTTTTGGTCATTGATTCATTTATTCATTCTTTACTCTTCCCTCTCCCTTCCCCTTCTAGGATTACTATTATCCCTATATCTCCATATTTGATACTGTCTCAAATATATCAGTGTCTACTTCTATTTCTTTCCTCTTTAAGCTGGATAATGTCAACTTACCTATCACCAGGTTTGAGGATTCTTTCTCTTGAATGTTTAAAATATGCTGCTGAATCACTCATGTGAAATTCTTTTGAGTAATTTCCCCTTCATGGCGATCTTACTGACTTAATAGAGTTCTGGGTTATATCATTTGCATTAGTCTTTCAACAAACTTCTCACAATCAAAGCACCCAAGCTCTGTGCTTTAAATACAATCCCCTTCTATTTCTATCAGTAGCAGAAATCTATAGTGGGATTGTGTATGGCCATTTATAGACTATCAAGATGTACAGTTAAAATACTGTTAATGGTGCCTGGTGGCACCATTAGCTTACAACTAGTATCTTAGCTTCTCAGGATACCGAGATCTGAAAATCGGAGTTCAAAGCTACCTTAGGTAGAAAGGTTGGTGAAAAACTTATCTCCAATTAGCCACCAAACAAAATGTCAAAAGTGGAAGCTAGGTGCATGTGGCCTGTAATCCTAGCTACTCAGGAGTTTGAGATCTGACGATCACAGTTCGAAGCCAGCCTGGGCAGAAACATCCCTATGAGACTCTTATTTCCAATAAGCTATTCAAAAAAGCCAGAAGTGGCTCTGTGGCTCAAGTGGTAGAGTGCTAGCCTTGAGCACAAAGAGGTCTACTGACAGTGTCAAGGCCTCAGTTCAAACCTTAAAAAAGTAAGAAGCGGAGCTGTGGCTTAAGTAGTTCTAGCCCTGTAGGAAACAAACAACAAAAAACTCAGAGAAAGTACCAGGCCTTGAGTTTTACCCCAAGACTGTTCCACCCCACACAAACATAAACACATACACAAAGTACCATTTAGTTTTCATACCAGGATTTACTTTTCTGTTTTCTAGGTGTTTTTTAAACTACTATAACAATTACATATTGTTTGGGTAGAGGAGACCAGTTACAGTTAAAATGTTTCCTGTCTTACTGAGGAGACTAGTTACAGTTTAAATGTTTCTGTCTTACTAGGCTTAACTTCTGATGGGACTTTAGCTGGAGATGGAGTGTTTGTGGTTCTGAACTAATTGATGGTTTCATGTTACTTGCTTCCACAAGGTCTGGCTGGGCTGTGAAAAAGGCAAAATTCAGAGAAATCAGTAGCCTATCATTTCAAAGAATGAAATAGTAGAAAAAGGAATTTACTTCGAGGTAAGTTCAGATTCATCACATAAAGTAGTTGATATGTTATAAACACACTCTTAGGAGACACTGGTTATAAAGGAAAAAATCCCACCATAAATGCAGAAACCTACTTTACTCATTTAATTGTAACCCCGCTGTACACTAATTTTAAAATAAAAAGACATGAAATAAAAGCTGATGATAATTTCCAGAAAAAATAAATGCAGAAACCTTCTCTGTTTACCTTAAGACTGGGCCTGGATCTGCATTGTGGCCCAGGTAGAGTGATGTGGTTCAGCCTTCAGATGTTTTGGAAATGTTGATCTTCAAAGTGCAGAAGGAAGGTACATCAACAGGATGGGAGGCCGGAATGTTCAGAACACTATGGACTGTATTCTTTCTAGGTTTATCAATAACTTTTTATCTTCTAGATTCTTCTGAGTAGATGGAATTAAGACTAAAGAGAGATATCCTTCCCCAGGATATTGCTAGAACAAAAGCAATTGAGAACTTGGTAAGTGTAGTTGAGAATGGCAGGTGTTTTGTTCTGGATCCTCATAAATGAAGGCTTCTGCTACACACAGACAGTTACACACCCTGTCTAAATGGAAACCACACAGAGGAGATGTATTAAAACTACTTTTTATACATTTTTCTAAAAATGGTGAGCACAAATGAGCACAACAACTCTCAGCTCCCTGTGGAAATTCCAGACCTACATAGGAGATTACAATAATCTGTCCTCTTTATAGATCTCTGAAAGACACCCTCTCCCAAGCAGTTATTACAAGAAAAGCTTGAATGAAACTCCTAAAAGCTTTTCCATCTTTCTGTCCCTCAGACTCAATAGCCAGATGCTGCTCTCAGTTTTACTACTGCACAGCGAGGCATGGGGATGTCCATTTCTTGTTTCTTTTCTCTGATATTTGTATGATTTTTCATCAGCAGATAAATGTGCTGAAGCTATAGGCATCTCTGACACAGCTGCTCAGCTGCTAGGACCTGTCATGCTCAGTTTGTGTTCAGCTTCCCCTGTGGTTTCTGTCACTGTGTCACTTAGAGCACAGTAGTAAACAGCCATGTCTGACTCCAGGACAGCAGTTTTCTCCAAATGGAAGGAGGTGGCTTCTCTGTCATAACTGGCGGTAAATCCTTTGTGGCTGCCTTTGTCATTGGCTGTCATGGCTTTCAGGAGGAGTTGTGGACCTTCTCCGGGATACTGAACATACCAGAAGAGAGAAGGATATTCTGTGGTTGTGTAAGTGCAGTTTATCCTTAGGGAAGCCCCTTCCAGCACCATCACTTGCCCTTGTGTCTGGGTCACTGAATTTCCATGAGTCCTTCCTGGGAGGGAAAAGAGATATGTGTCACTTTGTGAATAGAGACCTTAAGTAAGCTTAAGGTTAAAATTTTTGCTTGCAATATAAAGAATAAAACATAGGCCAAAGGAGGAGGCTGCAATGCTTAGTAAGAAATGTACGCATTATCCTGTCCATGTAATTGTAACCCCTCTGTACAGTATGTTCACAAATAAAAAATAAATAAATAAATAAAAAATAGGCATGTTACTTACCAAGTAGTAAGAGTATCACAGTTAATAAGCTTGGAGAAGCACACATCTTAGAGTATTGCATAAATAATCTTCCCATACACTATGTTCAAATGATAGAGAACTGATTAAACTTAACCTTCAATGCAGTCAGGATATGAGTGGTGCTATGAAGTTGCTCCCTCTGGTGAACAGGGACTGAATTGTGCTGAATGCTTAACTGAATGCCTTTCAAAATTCTCTTTTTAAAATATATTTTTTATTGTAAAAATACTGTACAGATGGGTTACAGTTACACGAGTAGGGTAATGAGTTTATTTCCTATCAAGTATTGTTACCTCCTTTCTTTTTCCCCAACAATCCCTTCCCTCCCTATCTCTCCAACTCCTCCAGGCCCCACCCCCGACATTGTAAAGTTCATTTTCAGCATAGTGTCCTGTGCATCTCATTGTCACAATGGGTAGACCTGAACCCCCATTTAAGCATTCCGCTATATCCCTTCCCCTCCCCAAATTACAAAAATATATATACAAGATTCGGGGCATCGGAATCAAATATAGTGAAATCAGGCGTTATGGTACATTATAAATACATTAAAAACAATAGCAACAAAGAAAAAACCACTCCTGTCTCTGTCTTGGGGTACATATCACTTAATATCATCTCATATGGTCACATGTACAAAGCCTTCACCTTCTTTGCTTGTCCTAGAGATGTACTAGCACCAGAATCAACTCCAAATGCACCAAAGACCTTGAAATAAAATGATTACAGGAAGGAATAGGAGAAACTCTAGGGTTTCTTGGCACAGGGGGAAATTTTCTTAATAGAGACCCAGAAACAACAAATCAAAGAAAGGTTGGACAAATAGGATTGCATGAAACTGCAGAGCTTCTGCATGGCAAAGGACATAGCTAGCAAGATCAATAGAAAACCCATGGACTGGGAGAAAACTTTTACTAGTCATACAATGGACAAGGGTCTCATATCTAAAATATACTTAGAACTCAAAAAACTAAATCCCCCAATGACAAATTCTCAAAGAAACAACTGCCCAATAAATAAGTGGGCTAATGACTTAAAGAGAGACTTCTCTGAAGAGGAAATAAGAATTCTACCTCACCCTAGTTAGAATGGCTATAATCAAGAAATCTAGCAACAACAGATGCTGGAGGGGATGTGGACAAAAGAGAACCCTACTGAATTGTTGGTGGGAGTGTAAACTTGTTCAACCACTTTGGATAGCAGTATGGACGTTCCTCAAAAGAACCCACATAGAGCTCCCCTATGACCCAGCAATCCCACTTTTGGGCATTTATCCAAATGATCACAAACAAGGCTATACTAAAGCTACCAGCACAACTATGTTTGTGGCATCAATATTCATCATAGCTAAGATATGGAACCAACCCAGAAGCCCCTCAGTAGATGAATGGATCAAGAAAATGTGGTATATACACACAATGTAATTCTATGCCTCTTTCAGAAAGAATGACATCACCCCATTTGTTAGGAAGTGGAAAGTCTTGGAAAAATTATATTAAGTGAAGTAAGCCAGGCCCAAAGAAACATAAGTCCCATGGTTTCCCTTGTTTGCAATGACTAGTACATTTCAAATTTCTCTTGACTGTAAGGGTGCCCAGGAATTAATAGACAGTAGGACCCCAAAACCACTGTGGTTTTTTATTTTTATTTAATTTTATTTGAGCGAAAGAACAATACACTGACAGGTCAGGACCATGTTCAAGATCAGGATCCTGGAGCACAGCTCTGAATGCCAGCTCACACCAGAAGGGGAAGGAGGAAAGACTTGAGCTTGCACAGTTGGGCTCTTTGTCCATTTTGGCCAATGGGCTCTCCAGAAATTTTTTGCTGGGACCTTCTGCTTAGGGACTGTTGACAGGAAGCTTGGGGAATAGAAGAAAAGATAGGAGTCACACTTTTAGTTAGTAGCAGAAGTGGAGTTACAGTTTGACTTTATGAACACAAAACAAAGTTAAAAATGATCCATTATCGATAAGCAGAGGCTTCTAATTTCTAAATGGCCTAAATACCTTTATTTAATTGTGAAAATGAGGTACAGAGGGGTTACAATTACATGCGCAAGCTAATCTTATCAAGCATTGTTGCCTCTCCTTTGTTTCCTCTTACCATCCCGTCCCATCTTCCCCCCCCATATCTTTAATTTTTACACCACAACATTGACATCCTTTAGAAGGTATATATCAGTCTTCAACTCTACTTTGAAAATATGAAAATATTTTTCTTTAATCCTTTTACTTTTCTTTTATTTTTCTCTTAAGATGGTACTTGAAATGAAAACACTTTTGTGTAGAGCATTCCTGGCAGTCTGTGTAGCCAAGAAAACATAAATTACTTGGTATATTTTAACATTTTAAGAGGATATTATATAGTCATACACTTATTGTCAGCTAGCCCATAATCCACTGATATGCCTACAAGTGTTTGGTGTTGAACTCATAGGAAGTAGTAAAGTGAAGTCAGTATGGAGTGATTCTGTTGCTTTTTTTGCTTTTGCTTTTGTTTTTGTTCTGTTGCAGTTTCCCCAAAACCTAGAACAGTGACTGACATCTACTGGGTACCTAATTCATATTTGTCAAATTAAGCTAAATATGAATACATGGTCTTTGGTGGAATAATTGTAAGAATGCCATTTTTATGTGTGTGGCAGTCCTTGGCCTTAAACTTAGAGGTTAGGCACTGTCTCTGGGCTTTTGTGCTCAAGTCTAGAGATCTACCTTTTAAATCATTGTTCCATGTCTGGAATTTTGGTGCTAAATGGGAGATAAGAGTCTCTCGGTCTTTTCCTGGCTGGCCTGGAACCTTCATCTTCAGAACTCAGCCTCCTGAATAGCTTGGATTTAGGGATATGAATCTCCTGTGCTCATCTGGAATGCCAAGTTTTTGCAAAGGTGTTTCAGAGAGAAAATCTACTCTTCATAATCAGTACTCAAATCAGAACTTCTGAATTTCATAGTCATTCATAGAAAAGGCGTGAATCCTATGCAGAAGAACACCATAAATTAAATTACTAACTTCTTATAAAATGGTCTGGGATTGATGTCTTCTTCCTCTACAGTTCAGCTCTAGACAAGGTGACAAGTTGTGAGATCCAGGCCACAGATATGTATTTCAATGTCTCTTGATCATGAAGGATGCTTTTTACATAGAGTCCTAGCCAATACTTTTTCCTGGTAATCAATCTCCACAGATTCAGACAAAGGGGCTCATGAATCCAGAGACAATCTGTTAATAATTACTTGGGAAAATTAAGTGAGATTCTCAGACCCAGATACTGTTTTGGTTCACACATCCCTTTTCATATCCACCATCCTTCAAACAACATTGCCAGAACCTACATTGAACTACACTAGAGGGAAATTCTGGATAATTGGCTGCATCCTTGTGTTTATATATGAGGAGAAGGCATAGTAGATCCAAAGGAGCAGAGTGTAAGAATAAAGTATAGCAGAGTGTTTCAGTTTACAAGATGAACGAATACTAGATAGGTATTATTGCACAACCCTATGAACACACAATTCATATTTACTCTTAGACAATAATCTAAAAGAATTGGTAGGGTTAACTGTTATGTTATCCATCATTTACCACAACTTGAATTAGTTTTGAAATCTGTAGAAAAGTGCTTTACTTTAATAGTTATTATCACATCTATATCTTCTGAGTGCAAACATAAAAGAATTTTAAAATACAGAATCAATTACCAGCCAAAAACAGACATTCTAATTTCAGAGCTTAAAAAGTTGTTGAGAGGGCTGGGAAGGTGGCTCAGTGGTAGAGTACTTGCCGCACATGCATGAGGTTTGATTCCTCAGCTCCACATAAGCAGAAAAAGCCAGAAGTGGTGCTGTGGCTCAAGTGATAGAGTGCTTACCTTGAGCTGAAGAGCTGAGGGACAGGCCCAAAGTTCAGGCCCATGACTGACAAAAAAACAGTTGATGCGAGAGATAGAATTAGGAAACCCCCATGTGTAAGGATTGTGAGTTGTGCAACACTGAAAATTAATTCATATGATAGCATCAAGTGCTTTTTTTTAAAGAGATACCATGAAAGCCAGAGGCAAAACAAAGGGACAATTGAGTTTGTCCTCCACAGTGTCTCCCTGAAGAGCATAATAATGTATGAATAAGACTGTTATAGACCATAAATCATAGAGTGTAGAAACTTAGTTCTTCATGCTAGAATTTTATTAATCTTCTAAGTCAAATTGTTCATAGTATAAGGAATGTTTTAATAGAATGATGTTTTAATAAAAGGTAATTAAGTCAATAGATGTTTAAATAAATCCTACTATTTTACTGTTGATATAGTGGCTATGCTTTTTCATTAATTAATATAAATATCCCAATGAAAAACTTTATATTTAAGAATTCTCTTTATCATCCTTCTTGCTAGACAAGACTGAACATTTTTATTTTGCTACTAGTTTTACTTTAGATTTAAGTTTAGGCTAGTTATATAAATAAAGTTTAACCGCAAATCTAGTAAAAATACATTGCAAAATTTTCTGTATTTGTAGGTTGGAAATTCTTACCATAATAATCAATGCAATTTACAAAGCTTTTTTTGCTCTTGAAATACTAGTAAAGGTATATAAAAGAAATTCAACTGAACATATATAACCAGGTAAAATATGTAGAAATCAACTTGGTGAAATTATATTAAATACAATGGTGGGAAACTTCAAACTATAATTAAAGAACATAAAATATCCTTTATGATAACAAATAATAAGATAGTATCAAGGTGATGTTTCATATTCATTGTATAATTATAAATTTTAGAGTGATACTGAATGTGGAAATAGATCAAAGAAATTTTATATATACTCTTATATATTTATTTATTAAGTTAGCACTGAAATTCGAACTCAGGGTATTGTTTGTCTTCTGCAACTTGAATAATGTCTCCAGGATAGTTTTTGGAGAACAGTACTGGGGTTTGAACTCAGGGACTTCCCTTGCTAGACATGCCCTCTACCATTTAAGACATGTTCTTATAAGTCTTTTTATTTTCTAAATCTAGATTCCACAAATTAGAAAAGAATACAGAAATTTTCTTTCTGAGACTGG